TTTCGCGCAAAGCTACACGAGGGCTATGTGCGCTAGCCGTCTCTAATTTAGCAGTGTAAGACTAGAGGGAAGGCAGCTAGTCATCACCACCGAACGCCAACTCTTGGGCTACTCTTTTACCAACGAATAGTGGGATTGACCATCACATAACGCCCCCACGGCTGAGAGGGCGAGCAATTTTGGTGGGACAGGGATTCGAGCCCGCGTTCCGCAGATTGTGAGTCGAGCGCCCTAACCACCTTGCCATTCCGGCCCGAATATCTTAGGACTTGTAGATAGGCTGTTTAGGGTTGATAGGAAAGGAAGGTTTTTGGAAGGGTGGTTGAGATTTAAAGTTAAACAGGGTAGGAGCTGTCATGTTTCAAAAGGCTAGTGACTCAGCCATAAGGGCAACTTTAAGCTAGGAGTAAACATTGGTGAGGCTCAGGATAGAGAAAGCTAACAAAGAAGAATAAAATATAGAGAAAAGTGTTGTGTAGCAACCATGTACAGAGGTGATTTTAAATTTAAGGGTGGGCTAAATTGGCACTATCTTAATGTTAGAAGTGTAAAAAATAAATGAATTAATTAAGAGCATTAGGTTGGTAGATTTTAATGTAATGTAAAACTTTTGATGCCAGGTTATATAATAAGGATAAAGTACTACAACCGTGGGGGGGGGTACTAGCTTTATATGTACAATACACCCTGTTAAAGATGTCAAATGTAATAGCAAGAAGACTGAATCTATACAATTTTTTGTTAGTGGATATAGGGGAAGCATTCAGTTGGAATTTATTACACACAACCAAATGAAACTGATAAAAGTAATGAAAAACTCTACAGTGAGCTTACGCTGTTAATAAGGTTATGACTAAGGGAGATCTTAATTTCAGGCACATGCCGGGCCTGGCCAAGTGGTTAGGGCACTCGACTCGCAATCTGCGGGTTCGAATCCCCGTTACGCCGAACATGCTCGCCCTTTCAGCCGTGGGGACGTTATAATGTGAAGGCCAATCCCACTATTTGTTGATAAAAAAAGTAGCCCAAGAGTTGGCGGTGGGTGATAATGACTAGCTGCCTTCCCTCTAGTCTTTACGCTGCTAAATTAAGGACGGCTAGCGCAGATAGCCCTCGTGTAGCTTTGCGCGAAATTCATAACAAACCAAACCAACTGCTAAATTAGGGATGGCTATTTTCAGTGCAGTTTTCAAATATTTATTTTACACAATTTAAAATATGTAAGCTAAAACTTTCACATTTGGTTATTAGTGGCAACTTTCTAACACTCCATTTGAAATCTTATATAAAATATAAACAACTTTTGTACATAACAATCCCGGCACAAAGTTGTCATCCAGATAATGTTGAAGATTTTGTTCAAAGTAAATTATGAGCCTCAAATAATAAAAGTGTAATGTTCGATTTGCCGTTATTCGAAATTAAAAATAATTCAAAATGTTTGCTTTCAAGCAACATTAGCTCGCCAGGTAGTATTTAAAAGAGAAGTTAAAATAAGAATGTCAGTGTCTTTTTTTTTTTCAAGCTCAGTTGTTGAAGAGTGAAGACGTGTTTTTTTTCTGTTCCAGTAGTTTAAGTCTTTGAAGATTCTAAAGTAGGTAGCCTTCGTATTAGTAATAGAGTTAAATTTGTAATGTACGACGCTGGGAGAAAATGGCATCAATAACATGATAACCAAAAACTTTTCCAACAGTATATTAAATCATTTAGCTGCTTTTTACAATCTATCCTTGTTTTCCATATACTGTTCATCAATCTGGAGTATATTTGTTTGTAGTTAAGCATAAAGCTACACAATGAGCTATCTGTGCTCTGCCCACCACGGGTATCGAAACCAGGTTTCTAGCGTTGTAAGCGTGTAGACATACCGCTGTGCCACTGGGGAGCATCAATCTAGATGTCGGCAATTATTAAAATTATACCCAAAAAATATGCGAATCACTGTCTTCCGAACAGCTACAGGACAATAAGCCTATTTAACACATTAGGTAAACCTATGGAAACAATTTTATCAAACAGACTTCTCCACTATTTAGAAAGCAATAACATTTTTAACAACATCTAAAATGTCAGTAGAAAACACAGACAAACAACTGACCACTTAGTGAGACCATTTGAATCAATCTATCAAGGTTTCAATCGCAATCATTCAACAGTAGCAACTTTTCGTGATGTAAAACAGGCTTTAGACACAGTGTAGCTCAATGCTTTTAACTATAAACTATGAAAAAAAGGTTTCCATTCCCACCACCAGATAGCTTTCTAGTTTTATTACAAAAAAAAAAATGCTTAAGTAAAAGTGAATAGTACTACACCTAATGCATTCCTGTTAAAAGCAGGTGTCCCTCAGGGTTTCCTCCTCAGCGCACTATTATATATTCTCTTCATCAATATTATACTGCTCCAATAGTTAATATATACTCGCATTTCCCAGTATACCATCTGGAGTATATCAGAAGATCCATTTGCTGCAGTAGCCAGAGTACAAGATGAATTAAACAATAAAATTCACTGGTGCAACAAGTGAAGAGTAGTTCTCAATCAAATCAAAAAACAAGCAATAGTCTTTCACAGAAGGATTGGCAGACAAAACAAAAAACTTAGGTAAGTTAAACTCATTATACAACACTCCCATCACTTTTAAAAGAACAACCAAACGTTTAAGTATCACGTTATGAAACATTTTGAAAAATACAAGCACAAGATTAGCATACCTCTAGTACATCAGTGGTATGAACAAAGTATGCAACAGCCATTCAACCACCAATATTTACGAAGCATACATCAGACCCTTATACCAGTATGGCTGTCCTACTACTGGCAACATGTCTGAAAAATTATACAACCAGATTCAACACAGCTCGCCGTTATTAAAACAGCTTTTCGTCTTCACAGGTACACCACATAAGCTTATGTTAATGATCTCACTGATTTACCTCTCATTAAGCTCGCATCCACAAGCTAACTCAGAAATTTAACATAAAGCTCTCATCCGTAACAACCAAATCAGGACCTTCCAAAATCTCATAGCCACACCCTCTACCTGGCAAACACACATTTCACCTCTGAACTACATGCAGCAACCAAGTGTTTACCCATTATATGTGTTAAAAAAAACATTCTATTTCAGTCTCACATATCGGGCATGGGTCAGGTAGATTATTATGCGCCTGGCTCGTGAAAGCAGGTTTTCTCTGGGTGCTCTGGTTCCCCCTGCATCAAAAAGATTTGAGAAATCGGATACCTATATCCTAGCCCCCTGAAAAGAGCCATCTTCTAGTAAGTTCTTATGACACCTCAGGTTTTTCTTTCAAAATTCTAGTTTATAATTTTAGATTCAATTTCATCAAGAAAACTTGGAACTTCTGTGCTTGGTCCTGCCTTTCTCATCATCACTCCTAACCGACGTAATCGCCACGTGGTGTCAAAAACCGTATGTGTTCCACCTTGAACAGGAAACGGCTTCTTGTTTGCTTTCCCCATTGACTTGAGACTGCATCTGCCTCGGCTCTACACAGCTCTCTCAGTGCAGTTCTCTAAATGCAGAGATTAAATCATTTCATTCTATTTTAGTTAATACTATAAACAGTCACATGTGGGGCGAAGAGAAACTAAGGTTCTGAACATACGGGTTATCTTTCAGACCCCAAGGATTCCTTTGGAGCCTGAAAGTTTAAAACCTAAGTTCCTGCCAAGTATCTTGGTTTTATTTGGAATGTCAGTGTCCATCAACGGGTCTGTGTTACCATATTTTGACAGCCAAAAGGAGAATAGGTTTAAATGCTGATAAAAACATAACACAAGAAAATCAATCCACCTTATCTTGTAAAGTACATTAAAAAAAAGATCAGATAGGTTTGTTTGTTTCTTATTAAGCACAAAACAACACAATGCTGCTTTCAAAAAATGCTATCAAAACTCCGGTTTAAGCATTATATGCCTTCGTTTGTTTGTAACTAAGCACAAACCTACACAATGGGCTATCTGTGCTCTGCCCACCACGAGTATCGAAACCCGGATTCTAGCGTTGTAAGTCCGCAGTCATACCGCTGTGCCACTGGGGGGCTATATGCCTTCAGACTTAAAGCTGAGCCACTTGGGTCGGATGGTGAGATAGGAAATCGGGTAGGGTGGGGTAATTCCATTTCAAGGGGAGACATGAATACAGTTTATTAGGACTTGATGGGTTCCCTCACTTGTATATCTTGTTTTGGAGTAGTTGTTAACATGTAATCTAAGGATTGTGTGATAATACTTGAGGACTCGACAATAAAATGTGACAGGGAATTGGGTAGGCATTATCTTAGACTGAAAGTTTTTGCCAGTCATGGCGAGAGCTATGTCCTCATGCTTAATTCATACTCAGGCGAAGAGGTTCATAGGTAACTAAGGGAGACATAAGATATTTTCATGTGACATCAAGCAGTCTCGACTTTTTGATACTTATTAGGATGTCTTTATTAGACACGGAGATGGTAATTCACAAGCCCAAGATCGCAAAATTATGGTTAGAATCACTTGTGGTCAAGACATCATCTGATATGAAATACCTAAATGCCATCTGTGAAACAGTCATAATGTTTCTTGCTGTGATCCAGACTTCTAGGAAAGCCTGGAGTCTACCTGGTTAGCTAGGTATACTAGCAATACTTCAAAACCACGTCTACCAGCTGAAGTTAATGCTGAATGCAACAGTGATATGTATCCCTTGATATCGTGGCATTCTGTACAATACTCACTTCATTTGGGAATGTCATATTTGTCAGTGATGCACGTGTTTTTGGATTTTCCTGATTTACCAAAGAAGATGATGTTCCGAAACTGCATTTAGCATCTGAAATCGATACGGGATGTGACAGTGATACCTATTTCTAGGCATTATGCACAAAACTTTACTCAATAATGCTGTATTCGTCAGAACATGTGCATCTCCAGTCTTTTAGAAGTTGAGAAGCTTTTTCAAACATGCACTGCTTCTCAGCTTCACAGCAGTATCGAAGATGTGACAGTGATATCGGGATGTGACAGTGATACCTATTTCTAGGCATTATGCACAAAACTTTACTCAATAATGCTGTATTCGTCAGAACATGTGCATCTCCAGTCTTTTAGAAGTTGAGAAGCTTTTTCAAACATGCACTGCTTCTCAGCTTCACAGCAGTATCGAAGATGATAGCAGGTATATAAAATCTGTATTTACGATTAGTTAATTATGATATTGATGAGAAACAGATAAACCCAGCAGTGTTCAATAGAATGGCTTTACTTCAATATTTCAAGCAAATGTTTGCTTGGAACAGATAGTACAATGCATTATGCTGAGTCTAAATTCCCTCATGTATGAAGAGCAACTCAATGACTGTGGCACAATGGTCAATGAGTTTTACTGCAGCTTCATATTCGACCCTGAAGATAACAGAATAATTAATATAACTAAATTCAAAGCTTTAGAGGCCCTATGAGAATCTGGCTCTGGCTGAGCTGATCTATTTCTTGTCTGTCAACAGTTCATTGAGATGAATTACGAATTACATCAGTCGTGTGACACATAAGGTTAAATTCTACATCATCCCTAAATATCTAGAGAACTAATTACTCAAGGAATCGGAGGTAGATGAGCAGGTTAGTTCTTAAGATGAGAACACTCTATCATATAATCTTATCTCGATTGATGAAGAGGAGTACACTAATAGCATATATCTGATTGCTTGTGCAAAGATAACTGCATCATTTACGCTACACATTAGGACAGTAAAGGTTGATAATACTTAGGGAAATTGACAGTTGATTCCCGCTGTCAATAAGGACTGAGAAACTAATATGCTGAAAAGGATCTACAATCCTTAGTTTTCAAGCACTCAAGTTAAGTATTGTGACAAAAACTGTTGAACATGTGCTGACATAAATATTCTGAGTGAATAGATGTTCTTGTATGTATGATCTGGTAGGTCTGAAAAAGTTACTGTAAAGTGCAGAAATAAAGTTATGTTTTGAAACAGCATCATAATTAACACATATTGTATTTATCAGATGATGCATGTATTGTTTATGTTTCTTTTACACATTTTCTGAAATAGAATCTGAATCTACCTGGCTATGTTTCTTAGAAATTTCTATATAATTATGCTGTCCCACTGCAGCTACTTTCTCTCTACTACCTACCTAGTTCTATATGCTTAGGAAGTATTACTTTTCCTCATTTATATTCAGCACCATGTCTCCCTTGGACACTTTAGTAAGACAAGCAGATATATATACTCTTGCCTCTTCTATTTCTATAGGTTCAATTAAAACTTCTTCATTTTTCCTAAAGTCGTCTACTTTAGTTTCAACAGTAAAGTGACTCCTCGCAGGCACTTCAGGTACTTTAACTAACATTACATGTTCTCTTTCTATCAAACACTCCTATTGGGATGCTTTGTTGCTTATGATAGGCATAAGTGTAGAGTCATCTGAGGGGTTTAATAATGGCTGGAAACGGCTTGAGTAGGTAATGAAGAAAAACTTATATTAAAGTTTTTCTTCATTACCCACTCAAGCCGTCTCCAGCCATTATTAGTCTCAAAGTGGGTTCCTCGTCATCGAATCTGAGGGGTTTGGTGTATTATATCCATGTCTTAGAGGTTCATTTTCTATCTTATCTTGCCTTACTTTAATTCCACCTATTTTATTCTTAGTTTTCTCTGTACACTTCTGCTAGGCATTACTTTAGATTTCCTTTAACTGGATTTCTTTTTGAGCACTTTATATTCCTACCACGCCAACTTTGTCGTGTATCGCTATTATTAGGAGTATCATTGCTTTAGTACATCTACTGAAAATATGCGATAGTTTAGAATACCATGGTCTGAGCTATATAAAGTGGAAAATTACTAAACTATCACTCCTGTGTCTTGCAGGTTGTTTTGGCTGCAAGACACACGGCAGTGTTTCTTCATTATACCAGTAAAAGGAGGTAAAGGTTTTGAGTTTTACATTGTAGAAATTTAGGGTGATATATTTCTGCTTTAAGGTTGTACCTAAATATGAGGGGTAACTGCCTTCCCACAATTGCCTGCAGACTGCAAATGGCAGTAGGAGTTAAGATGCTCTGGGTTCAAGCACCAAACTCTTTATTGATTCTCCTTGGTTGCTAGCTAGTTTGACATCTGTATTTGGATCTTGTCTGATAGATGGAATATCTCCAACACATTTGGGAACTATGGCCACAGACATTTTCCACTAAGAGTTGGTGATGACAACAAGGGCTGATAAGTGAAGAACAACTTTTGATATTTTTGTCTCATTGTGAACATTTTTGATTTGTATTGATTTCATTATTGTTTTACAGTGCTGATTCATCATCTATTTACAATTAATGTATTTGGTAATGATGGAATGTATTTCTTAAATCTTAACATTCTTATTTATTAATTTTTCTTTTAAAAATACTGGATCATAAACATTTCTGCTTGTCCTGTTTATTTGTTGTTTAAAATTTATATATCTATATTTGTCAGTGGTTATCTTGTCAACTGTTATGTTGTAGCTTCTTTAATGTAAGCACCTGAAAAAGGCTCAATTATTAATATGAATATTTTTATTTACCGAAGTTCCACAGCCAAAAGGTACCCCCCCCCCAAAAAAAAGAGGTTCTTTTATGGCAATTATATATATGTATGTATAAAAATATACCAACCATTATTCATTTAAAAAATTATAGGCAATATCAATAAGTCATATTGTGAAATATTACATTTGACTTTACGATTCTGCAAGTTTTCTTTAAAACATCTGAACCTTAATAGAGTTTTTAATAATATACCCACTTTTTTACTTACAATAACAAAACAAAAGCTTTTCTTTAATGATTATTTTGTCTGATAGAAAAACAGGTTATAAATTACAAAACTACTCAAACACAATTTCATTAATTAGTTATTACAGTTCCTTTGTTCTCCATCCAAAAATACCTTACTAAATATAAATTAATTTTAATACTTGACAATAGCTGGTATAAATACACTCAACTGCTATGTTTTTTTTTGTCCAATCTTGTTTGAAGTATTTCCTTTTTTTTTTAATGCCAAAATTTATACAGTTTATTGAATAAAAGGCTTATAAGTATCCTACTTGGTTTTGTTTATTTAAATATTTAATTTTACTTGCTAAACTAATACTTTTTATTGCAATAAGAAATATGCTATTTCTACTTCTACAATGAGAAGTGCTCTATAAAAAGATAAACATTTTCCACTCATAGGGAAGTAACATAAACTCATATTTTTAATAATAATTACTTACTGAAAAAACAGGATTGTTTTGCTACACATATACAACAAAATCCAACAAATGCGTATTATAGTCATGGCATCTTTCACTTGCCACATAAGTTTTGAAGATAAAGTAGGATTGGTGCTAATAATTTATTCTTCTGAAATAGTCAGGAGACAAATTGTTTAAAACACAAAATAAATATATGATGTTCAATCTATTAATTGCTTCACTGCCCAAACCTAGTATAACTCAGTGACAAGTGGTGAATTGAATGATAGATTGGGCTCCATATTTTTTTAAAAAAATGCCTTTGTTGGATTGATGAATAAATCCTTTATCAAATTAGGATAAATAATTATAACTTCTTAAAAATAATCACCCAGCTTCTTCTAGTGGTCAAACATAAAACTGTTTTAATACTTTTGGACTTAATAACTACATTCACAAAACTGAACTGAATCTGGACACATTTAGACCAACAAACTCATTTTTTCCTACTGCTTAACTGTAAAGATTAAAGGAAACCTAGTCATAATCAGAAGTTATATCACAGTCAGATTTATTAAGTTAGATTTAACCCTACGTACACAGGTGGGGGTCAAAGTGTGCATGCCACAACCTTGAAAATAGTGCCATTCAACACGGTATTACGCATTTGATGTCAGAGTTATCAACTATTCATTTTACCCTATGTTGCTTATTTAGTGACAATTCCTTTTAAATGAGAGTAAGTACCAAATTAAATATAAAGGGATACTGAAAAACTTTAGATAATACATTTAAGATGTTGTAGAAGTTATGCAAAATGTGTAATGGACAAAAGTATTTTTATTCTTCACATGAACATCCTCTTGCACTCTGGCTTGTTAGAGTCTGAGTCAGACTGATGCCGGCATTTCACAGGTATATCATCAGTATAAAACTTTTAGTAAAGCTTTTTTTAAGTTTTTTGTGTACAACAGACTTGTACTGGTGACTAAAAGCTTGCCATATTCCATGAAGATAAACTTTATAAATTTGGAATTATAGGCCACATTACTTCTCCCATACAGGGTTGGTCCATTGGACTCAAATGATATAATACTTTTTTGGTACAAAGTAAATACAATCATGATCATATAACAATAAACAACCAAATAATAAATCTATATCACAGAATACAAGCATTAAGTTTAGACAATAGATAAAAAGTACAATTTGTTTAATTTTTATGTAGATTTATAAGACCAATTGCAGTCTACATGTATTAGAAATGAAATTTATGAAACTTTGTAGAATTATTACAAATTACTAAGATTATAAAGAATATTTTAAGAACTTAGGTCATACCAAACAAGGAGGTTCCAAAGTACTTGAAACCATTAAGGATGATATATATATATTTTTTTTTAAATACAAATAACCTAAGTATTTATTTTTCTACCAACTAAGTTTCATTTAGTCTACTTAATTTTGCATCACAGATCGATTTTGCTAACAATAAATTTTTCCAAAGCCATCATTGGTGATTCAAAGGCCAATGATGCCATCAAAGCCAGAGAGTAGGAAACAACGGTGAAGGCAAGAAAGTTGATTACCTGGTGGGAACAAAACAAAACAATTTATATATGCAACTTTAATCCAACACACACAAATAAAACTCTTTTAATTTAACATGTCTTTAATGGATTTAAACTAGGAGCCTGTGTTCTTTTGCACATATCATGTATACATGTTTAAATTACTTCTTAGTTAAGTAGATGCAAGACCAAATAAAAGTGTTTTTTTGTTATTTTCGTACTGAACACTGAAACAGTAAACAACTGACCTACTTCATATTTCTATTCTAAAACTGACTAAGATGCTGATTATGCTTTAAAAAGGCTATGCAAGTGTGGGCTATTAATACAATTTGTTCCACAACAGGAAATAATTTGGTGTTATTGTATATTTTTCTGTAAAGTATAGTACACGAGAGAGAGCAAAGTTGTAAATACAGACATCAGTATTTCTTTTTATTGTAAGTATGGATATTTTTAGATATGTTTAATTGCAAGTTGTTGATAGAGATAACTGATTACTGTTTCATTTCAAAATACTCTAATGTTCGATGGTTTTAGTTTTCAAATACAATTCTTTTGACCTATGAAAAACTTTCGTATCTGGATCATTCTGTAAAATATAGGCCTAAAATATAGGCTCTCACTCAAAGGAAACAGATATGTTTTTGTTTAATTTTTAGTAAGACACTCAATTATTCTTTGTATTTTGTTACAAAAAAATGTATTCATCTATATGAATAATTATTTAAAACACAACATAATATATATCAACAACATTTTCATTACTTTATAAGAAACTTAACATATTTTGGAAAGTTAAGACTATTTTTGGTTTTTATGTTTTCCTAATCTAATAACTTATTGCAACTATTAGTGTGAAATTAAGTATGTTTCACTATAAAAAAGTTTTATTAATTTATTCTATATATTTGATGCCTAACTTTACATGAATACATGACATCAGTAAAAGAGTTATATAAAAATTTCCTTGAAAGTTAATTCGGTGATTAAAAAGTATAAAACTTAATTGCATGTGCATATTAAGAAAAAAGCAAAATTTCTTTATAGCTTATTTATACAATATGACTGAAAATTTAATTATCAAGAATAAAATACACTAGAATACTTTAATAATATAAAAGTGTTATTCTATGAAATGATAGATTTTAATAGTTTGATTATGAAGGCAAAATTCTAAGACTGACTGTGAAATATAGTTGGATTGCCAGCCCCAGCAGAAGCTACATTTTGCTGCTAGGGCCATCAAGTGTCCAGCTTAATCTATTGTCCCCCCAGAAAAACTGATTTCTTTTTATGCTTTGAGATTGCATTTGAGGCTATTATTTTGACATAAGATACAGTGGTTAACCACAATTTTAATTTTATTTATTTACACACAATTTAGTAATAGTAATAATCAGTAAATATATATACTTCGATTGCATATTGACAGTTTTAAAGTTGATTACGTAAATCAACAAAACAATTGTAATCTGTGTTTCGATTCTCCAACAAATTCATTTGAAACAATCTCATTTAGAGAATTAGTTTGTTCTTTGTGAACATGTAAAATCATAAAATTGTTCAATCTTTGCTGGGACATAGTATTTCAGAGGTAACTTTTCACTCTACACAATGCACTAAAAATGCTCAGAAGTTGCATTAGTGGCTGGCATAATTAACACTAATTTCACAATCCTCATCAAGAAGATCTATCTGACCAATGAATAATAACTTAAAATATTCTTTAATATCAAAAATTGTCATATAAGGTACTCTGATTCATGAGAAGGCCCACGGAGTTCTTAAAATTTACATTTGAAGATAACATGAAGAGTGAGTAGCTAGACACGTAACAAGTCCTGCTGAAGTAAGCTTTGTAAAATTTATATACCAACTGTAACTCTTCTTCAAACTCTTTACCCTGGCAAGCTTTGATCAATAGTTGTTCAAGTTTTGAACATATCTAGTAACCAAATAGCTCAAAATGATCCTTTATGCGATTTACTATGATATCTATTAGTTCATAGTAAAGCTGCCAATAATACAATATGGGAGGTTCATGGAACTGGTACCTTGTCAATCCATTTTCATGGCAAGTTGTTAACCTGCATCTACAAGTCAATTGTGGTTCTCCAACAGTAACAGAGTTAGTCACTGAATTAACTTTTTTTGCCAAAATAGAGAGTATGATTCTTCTGTTTGTGAGATGCCAAGTATGCCAACGACCATTTTTCCAGCTTGATGTCCTTTCGGCTGCAGAAATTGTTTTCTCCTGTAGTGCTTTACTCATATCAGTGTGACATAATATTTCACAAAGAACAGCACCAAAAAGAAAGCCAAAAGTTTTCATTTGTGATGAAACTCCGAAATTCTAGCTTTGGTTTCTGTGTCTTGCACTATTTCTGCAGCTTCTTTCCAAGTATCCTGTAAAATAGTGTAATTTTTGATAATGCTACATAAAAAAAAACAGCACAAATTGACCACCTTGTAGGACATAGTATTTGAATTCCTGGTGTGTGGTTTCCAGTCTCCATATTGCTTATTTGCTTCAAATCTTGAATCACTACTTCACACCAAGGCGAGTATTTTATCAATTTTATTTCATGTGTTATATCCAAAGCATCTCTCATTACTTTAATACCTTTTAATGCATCACTGGCTGAAATACTGATGGAATGTCCATAACATTGCACATAAACTGCTCTTGGTTCTTCTTGTTAAATTCTTGGAACTACACCAGATCAAACACCTTTCATTATACTGGCTACATCATAACAGTGACTTCATAGTTTAGACATGGATATATTTAGTCTTGTAAATGTATGTTTAGCAACTGTAGTCAGCTTTGCATCTTCAATAGCAGATACATGATACAATCCAACCATGTGCAGTTATGTAATTCATGAAGCAACTATAAACTTACAAATGCTAGTTTAGCACAGGATGTCTTTATCTTCTCTTGTTTAAAAGCAGACACACAAGTGTCACAAAACACATCATCAGCCTGTTGGTAGTGCAAAAATGGCCATTGCTTAAACTACATAGGCTGAAAAGAATGCTGTACAATAGTCTTCTTACCAAATGAACATTTGTGAAACAAAAATTCAGCTAGTTGATGAGGGAAGATCTGGAAAATTAGTGAAGCAAGAAAAACAAGCCATACTATAAAAGCCACAATGTCTACAGTTGATTTAAATGCTACTAGAAATAATTTATAATGTTGTCATCACTCAAACGAAGCATAATTTTCATAACCTTCAATCTTGTTTGATTACAGAGCCATCAAATAGAAAATGAGACCTCTTTTACCACACTCAACTGTCATATCCTCTCTCTTAGGATTTGTTACTAGTTCTCTCTAACATTTAATACTATATTATTTATAAACAATAGAAAGCCATGGTTTTCATTTTCAAATGATGCATTATATTATGTTGTTTTCTGTACAGAAAATGTTAATTTTTTCTTTCAGTACAAGCTCCATTCTCATGGGAAACACATCGACTTGCTTGGATGAATTTATATTGGCTCTTCTCGCACAGTTACAAAGCCAGTAAAATTGTTATGGGACATTGTCTGATTTTTGCATGTTACTGTTCTATGTTATTTGGTGCACTATTTAATTAATTAAAAATTATTTAGTGCACTATTACCATTAGTATAAAAAAGTAGGGTTAAGTGTCATGGACAGTCAACAACAAAAGAAAAAAAAGAAGGCCCAGGTCAGTACTTTATTTATTACTATACAAGTAACTAAAATGTAAAAATAAGAAATTCTTTAAGGTAGATAAGGTTAGATTAGGTAAAATAAATAATAATATGATAAAAAGTTTTTATGACGGAAACACACAAGCTGCTCATAGTAGCTCGTGGAGAATATAATTCATTAGCTTAACATGAAATGCATGTACCCCAAGTGATTTACAACTTATAGTGGCACGAACAGTATGCAGATATGATTCAAATGGCAATAAAACAATAAAATTTAAGTATTAATAGATTTATACTGTTATGAGTTTAAAGCTACTTAGGATAAACAATGTAATTTCATGTTACAAACTGAAGTCATTCTACAAATAAAAAAGGATAATTTAGATTTATTTCAATTTTCTTTTTGGTGGTTACGAGTTGTATAAAGTTAGGGTAGAGAAAATTACAGACAAAATATAAAGTTTTACTGAGAAAAACATTGGAAATCTATTTAATCTTAATGTGGAAACCACTTTGCCCTCAGACTAGTCAAAAAAAAAAGACTATATATTCATGGACAAATCTTTAGTAAAATACTTCCCATTAAAAATGTGATTTTTTTGTATATTAAAGACTTGTGATGTTTACTGAAAGTCTGACAAACTTTGTGAAGATACACATACTATATTAAAAGTCAGTAGTACAGATAGACAATGTCACAGTTATTACAGGTTTATTATGTACTTTTTGTGTGTGTGTGTGTGTGTGTGTGTGTGTGTGTGTGTGTGTGTGTGTGTAGCTTACATAGAAGTAGTAAGATTCTCTGCTGTATTGATCAATACAATTTTTAAAGTAATGTGATCACTAGCCTAAATTGTGGTAGATCTTTAACCCTGTCAAGACCTACCACTTCTGCCAGCCTTGATTACTACAGCATTTATTAACTCTATTAAAGAAACATAAAACTCCATAAAATGAGAATATTTTACACCACTATTCTACATTTGAGTTAAGATTATTTAAAATGGTTCACTGAAATGTGTGTAAAAGTTTAGGTAACCAGTAAACTCAGTTAGAATTTTCAAAAAAAAAAAAATCTATTCTTCACTTTCTAAAATATTATTTTCTTAATACTTTGGTGAAATAGCTTTTCTGCTGACACAATACTGATAATCACTCAGCCATATATTAAACACAGAAAGAGCTTGTATTTAAACTGAATAGCACTGATCTAAAATTACTTTTATTAGTATTTTGAACCATCACAAAATTATTGTTACATTACTGAAAAAACGTTTAGTAAAATACTTCACTTAAAGATTTGATTTTTTTGTATATTAAAAACTTGTAATGTTTACTGAAAGTCTGACAAACTTTGTGAAGATACACATATTATATTAAAAGTTAGTATTATCAATTGATAGGTGCATAAGTGCATGAAAAGGATGAATCAAGTATGAAATGAAACTTTTTTTGTTTTGAAAGACCTCTTCCTTATTGATTTTCTTTTCATAGATTTTTTTACAGTTTTAGGTCTTTACTTTAGATGTGCTTTTGTATTGTAATACATTAAGAAGTGACGACACATTGGTCACAAGTTATGACTTGGTTATAGTTACCAAACGAAGATGTATAAATTATGCTTAGTTTTCAGTAATATAAAGTGATATTGTGATGGTTGCTAGGAAATTGCACATGGTATACACATGAAAGAAACTATATCATGTGATTGAGTTAACTGGAATACACTAAAAAAGAGAACATTCATTTTAGTTTCTTTATATATTTGAAAGCAGAATCCGAGTTAAAATCTTGAATTCATAAACACTGTCTCACAGACTTGCTTAAGAACTGGTTTTTCTACAGAGACCTATTCTGGCCAAAAATCTATCTTACTATACATGCTTTTATAAAACTAAAAGAAAAAATAACATACCATCAAGGGGTGAGTGACGTACATTGTAGTTTTGCTGCTCAGGTAGTACCAGTACATCACCAGTGGATGGATGAGGTAAGCACAGTAGGTGAGTCGACTTAATGGGATCCAAAATCTCCATGACAACAGTGTGTCTATGAAACCTAGAATAACATTAATTATGGAATTAGAAAAAAAAAGACATCAATTAAAGTCATTAATTTTATTCAGAAAAAGCCAAATTCCAGGAAAGATATAGTTGAATTAGCATTAATAAACTGTAAAGTGACAAGGTATGTAATCATAAAGCTTGCAATAAATAAAACATAAAGGTTTAAAATAATATTTTTTGCATCTTATGCAGTATAAGTACACAATTATAAGTTACATTTGACTTACCACCATGTCCTGTTACACAAGCATAAATCACCCATCCAACACCAACTGCCCATGCTGTACGTGATAGAGTATTATAAAGAGAAGTGGTAGAATTTGACATATCAACATGATATGTACCATATACCACAGACAGGCAAAGGCCTGCAGCTATTAGCCAACACAGTAAAACTAACCACTAAAAAAGAAAAGAGAAAACACAAAACTATTATCTCTGTCCATATGTGTGAAATTCATTCTAATTTAAATTAAAACAAATAATTTGATAAATGGGGTGTTTTCAATATACATGTGTGTATATATATATATGATAAAAGAGGATCTACATTAACTATCTAATTTCTACAAGTAATTTTTTTTAATGATTTATATACATGTGTGATAATACTGTTTTGTTTAATGTCATGGTTACAGCTCAGGTTAAACTAATATTACATACATGTTATAGAAACAGTATCTCAAATAAATGTTTTTTTTTTGTTTACAGGTTCTAAGAATGCCATAACTACAAACTTTAAATCCATTCAGAAGAAATCATATTTCTCAAAGTGTAAAGCAATAAGTGCTACCAAAAAGGAATGAACATATCCCACAATGCAAACAAATGCTAACTGTAATCAGACTGAAAAATTAAAATCCTTGGTTAGTGAACAATTGCTTTCAGTAAATTCATTTAAAAATTGTGACCATGTGACAAAATTCAACAGGAAAAAGTGTTGACCTTTAAACCAGAAGATAAACAAAAAATTACTACAGTCAAGGAAGATCATTCAAGTTTTACTGAATAACTTAAAAAAAAAACCTTATATTAAACTATCCCCTGTTTCACAGTAAGATTTAAGATCATGGAAGAAAATTTCAAAATATATAAAAAAAAGATTAAACCATAGATTTTTGATGCAACAAATTACAACATGAAAAATGCATTTGAAAGTGCTTGAATAGTTGGAATAGGTAAACTAAAAAAATAAGAGATTTTTCATAGAAACATAATATTCTATAGATTAGGGGCAGCTCCAAATTGGGTAACAACTTTTCATCTTTTTCTTAACAGAAGTTAATAACACTGATCTGTACACCTGTATATTTACTGTATTAAAACAAATAATTCATTATTATCATTTATTAAAGTGCCACATATTATCCCCCCCTCCCTCAAAAACATATTTTGCTTAAAATTAATAACACAAACCATGACATGAGTAAGTGAATTTAAGTGTGGTTGGTATTAATAAAAATTTCCTACTAATGTTTATCAACTAAAATGTTGTAGAAACAAGAAAATTCAAACACATGAAAAACTTACTTAATCAACAATGAACAATCACAACAGAGATAAATAAAAAAGCATAAATGCAACACTACCATGAGCACTATAAAAATTCATACCTTGTTTAGGAAATTGGTTCTCTTTCCAGTGCGATACAGGAGAAAGCTTACTATAACACCAACAAGATATGGACCGATACGACACCATGGTTTTATGTATATTATGTTGAAATATGCCTGCTGACTGCAAAGTAGATGTGTTTACAGAGATTAAAGATACATGAAAATATAATATCTACCACTAACAGGACTCATACACTAAAACAATACAAATGTATCTTTTTTTTCATTAAAATAATATATTTTCTGATTCCACTAGTCTTCTATGGAATAATCCTTCTGAGATATAAATATCAAGTCTAATCATTGATCAAATGATGGAATTTTTTTCTTCTATAGGCATAAGTGATGTGCATTACATCTATACTCTACCAAATAAAAAAAGTTTATTTAATAAACAGTATTTAACCTTTACTTTTTACTAAGCAGGTTTAAAATCACAAGTTTTACTCAACAAACATTTTCAATTTCACAAACTCATCTGCCAGCTTGCATAATTTGCTATGCGACTCAACCAAATCAATTCTCTGTTTAATCTCAATGAACTGAAAATATGACGATGGACAAAAAATATACACAAAAACTTGGTAAATTTTTAAAATTTTAATTTTATTTATAATTTTTTTGTGATCACTAATAAAGCATATACATTACTCAGTATTTTAATAATATTTTACCCCAGATCTCAATTTTTAATTTGAGTATCATAACTTTGTTACGAAGAAAATTCAGGATTAGCCACAAGTACATATATTTTCACTGAGATCCTTTATAAAGTATCCATGTACTCTAATAAGTTAAAACCTGTGAAATATGATTTATCACTTGCAGACCCTTTAGGAAAGCTGAGTGACAACTAATACAGTAAAACAGAATGTTTAAAAACACTTACTAATAACATACAAATATTTAAATGTATTACCCATTTAGTTAGAATCTGACCTTAACTCAAAATACTCAAATAACACCTTTAACTTACACAGTACACATTTATATTTACATATTTGAAAATCATCTTTTATTTACTGTTACATACTTCTAAGTTTTTGTAAATAAGAATTTTAGTATATTAGACCAGTGCCATTGATTCTTACTCGTTTGAAGCAGCTATAAGGGCTTCTGCATCACGAAGTTGCATAAACATAGAGTTAAGCTTATAGACTGAACTCAGAACTCCAGTAGATATCCATGACGTCAGCATCAAACCACCAACAACACCAACACTTATTAATGTGTGACTGTATGAAAAAACAAAAATTAAATTATTATGCTAATTAACATACTTAAATAAATCAGTCATAAAATCAAACAAAATAAAATTTATTGTTTTCAAATAAAATGGGGGAAATGAGCTTGCTTCCTAAATGATTTTTCAGTTTTTAAGTGAGAGTTTCATTTTGTTTCCTAAGAATTTTCCATGTTTCAAGTTGATCTGAACTTTCAGTTCAATCTACTTAAGGTTTCTGCTGAGATGTAGGAAAAAAAAAATCATCCTTGTATCCTAATTATAGAATTAAACTTCATGAAAATATATTAAATCATTTCCATAATATACTAGACACACTAGAGTAAAATTTTATTTTTATCATGTTATCTGATGAATATCATAATACACATAAGTAAGGATTCCAAGTGTTCCTAATCATGCAGGTTTGCAGCAGGCTATGTTTAATTGTAGGACTAACTTCACAAAATGTTTCAATAGAAACTCCAAAGTTCACAAATAAAATTGCAGAATTTCCTCGCTAATCAATCAATAGCAAACATGTTAATTAAATCACTATTATAACTCATAATCACACAAGTATGCTCTGTTTTACACCCAAAAAACCTTGAAAATATGATACTCATTTTGATGTTTAAGAGTCTAAGAAAGAAACTAAAGAAATTTAGGTTTCTGGGTGTGGTACACATACATGAAGAAATGGCATAAGTAAAGGACGAGTGTATTACGAAATTGGATCAAGAACTAGGCAAAGCACAGTTAGCTGGTTAGTTAGTATTGAGAATCACATGTTAAGAGTTATAAATAATGAAGCTACAGTGGAGACTGAGAAAAACGCTAGTCACAAGTTTGACAGTGATAAGTTACTGACACTGATCTAGTAGTACAGTAAAGGCTACTAAAAAGTTGATGATAGCATCTCAAATTAGCACTTTGATGTAGGGTTTGTTACTACAGACTAGAGTAGTAACACAAATGAGAAGGCAACCGGATCACACACCATCACAGTAGCCAATTACTTGAGAGTTTTGGTTCTTATTTTGGAAATGCCGATGAGTTGCAGAAATTACCCAATGAAGTGTCAAAACTACTTGTTGGTAGTTAGGATTACTATTTGGAAAATCAAAAGGATACAGAGAAAATATGGTATAAAAACTTGTGTCTGGAAGTTGAAGTTCTCCAAAAGCTATGAATATAAAGGTGTCTAATCTCCAATGATACACCAGTCTAACTTTGTTGTAAGTATAGAACTGCTATTTCTCTTAGTCAATTAATGTAATTTTAGATAGAAATAGTAAAGTAATGATTACACAGAGTGAAATATTTGATATGCAAACTGTATCAATTAATAGTGCTTAACTTGAAGGTGAAAGTTAGATTGTTGAGAATTGACAGTTTAATAAGTGTTTAACTGCTGATATCAAAAGTGTATCTATGTGTAAAAACTTAATAAACTTGATGTATTCTGTTGAATGTCAGTCTCAGAATCTGATTCTTTAGTCTAACCATAATTAGTGACTTGTGAGATCCACTTGCCACTGCAATCCTCACTTAAATAAACTTGGTGTAATTGGCAGTACAGTCATAGCTCCAACAACAAGCCCTAAGGGCACTGTCCATTACAATATCACATCAGTTATGACTTCTCAAGTACTATAGTTATTTAAATTTATAAAGGCAAATACTTCTTTATTCTATTACATGCTTGTAAAATTTGAAGATACAGCAAGAAGAAAATCATGTTCTATTCTGCTCACTAGTCCACAGATCAAAACGTATTTTAACAGTTACAGAAGTTGATATTTTCTTAAATCAAAAATGTATTTCCAATAATACTTACCTCTACTCACACTACAGCTATTACTTGACTGCCTAGGCTTCTTCCTTTGCCCATCTAAGCATTGGTCTTATTTTTTCTCGCTTGGTCCAGTCTTTTATATGCCACAGAACTGCCTTTGATATTTGTCTCATGACACTCTCCACCTATGTCAGTGTGCCCTCTATCCTAGTACTGTATATAAGCACCTCATTCAGATAATTTTATCACTTTTTTTGAGACTGAATCGATCCAAAGTTTCTAACACCAGCTCTTAGTGTGTAAGGGCAGGAGAGTGCGAGTATTATTGGAAATACATTTTGAATTTAAGGAAATTTTAAGGGGCCAGTGAGGTCATTATCCATACAGAATGCATCTGCATTATGGTATGGGTTGTTAAAAGAAGATTGGAGCCCTAGTGGGGGGGAACCACACTACATCTAGATATGTTCTTCACCCAGAACTTAATTCATGTACTGTGGGTGGAATTTTACATGATTTATCATCACTACTGGCCAAGCACCAACCAGATAGCCAAACTTCCACTGCTCAGGGTTGGAATTATAGAGCCTTTGTCCCTATATCCCACATTGGTGGCTAGGGCAATTGGACTGAAAGATATATACACATACGTATATTTACATTCATGTAGCCATACAGTGATGTGTTTCGAGCCACCAGAATCACGATGAGTAAAGTATGCAACACCAAAGTGGACAAACCTTCTCCTTATCATGACCAAGTCCGAAAGGCAACACCCCAGGCTTGGAATGATGGGATTTTGCATATCTTACACAACCTGAGGAAACAGAGCTAATCTGGTCTGGAATTATGAACACTCATCCTCATTTCCCAACTGTGTGGGCAAGGTAAATTCCACTTGTCCCTGGAATTATGGGAAGGACCTGAAACAAACTGTGATCAACCAACCAAGGACCCAAGAATAGACCACTCTAAGTTCGAAATTTCGAGGAGATAATGGACCCTCTTCCATAAAAAAAATACTGAATCAATACAGATCAAATTGAAGGGCCATGCTCAACCCAACTGGATAGCTGATTGTCAAATCTGAACCGGTATTATGAGTAGGCTCCTGTGTAAGCTGGTGCCTCTCCTACCGACATATGGGAAAAAAAACTTTAAGGGACCTGGGAAGGAGGGCCTCCAACTTAGACCTCTTCTTCAAGAGTGAAGGAATTCACTCTAACACTCTGGAGGAAAAGCCTCTATCCACTATCCCTACAACTGGAAACTGGGTTTGGAAAGGACTCCCTAGCTCCACTAGTAGAATTTTTTTTTTTGGGGGGGGGGGGTAATGCACATTGGGGAGTCTTGAGAAACAGTGCAATAGGTGAACCAGGTTCCCTAAATTATTTTTAAAACCAAACTGACCCCAATTTATTCAATCCAATGATTGGCAGGATCCCCCCTCATGCTTTACTCATGATATTCCATGAGTGGAAGTCCTACATAGTACAGTAATACCACCCAGTCAGCCTCTAGGTGGTCTTACAGAACACCTCATTTCTACAGAGCCTGCTGCAACCTAGATAAAGTGTATTTAATTATTGGTTGCTAGTGTGAAAGTGGTTTGATAAAAGCACATCTGCCTGAACAACACTCAGTACAGACTGGGATCCTGTGAAAATGAGGTAAGTGACCTGAAATGTAGCATGAAAAATAATCACCCCTCAGTATAATCTAGTGGAAGTGGTTAAGATAACTACAGGAGGTAAGCAAAAACCCTCAGATGAAGATACTACCAGATCATGCAAATAACATGAGATAAAAGTATTGAGTGAGGTCCACATACCAGTCTGCATAATGTTCTCCAGTAGGCAATTCAACTGGGCCACTAAGGACATAGAAACATAGTGAATCTAATTAGATGTGATTCACAGAAGGTTTTTCACCTTCAAAGATAACCTAATACAAGCAATATGGATCAATTTCGTACCTACTTCATCTAAGTAACCGGGGATAAATCCTAGGAAACTGAATGATCCAAGTGAATAAAAAGTCATTGTCTAGAATCTCTAAGAGCATTAGTGCGGGCAACAAAATCTTCAAGACCCTTACTTGACATAACAATGATCAAAATCTGATTGGTCATAGAAGTGAGAAAAAGTGATCAAATGAATCAGTGAAAAGGCTTTATCCCCTTCCCTGGCTGACAGTGTCTTACATAAGAAGAACTGGTCTGAGGACATAGGTAGAATGATAAAGCATCCTGTGGACACACACACATACAGGGTGACCTTTTAAGCTATGCAATTTCTGTATATCAATTCTAAAATATTTCTTTTTTCAGATAATATATACAGTTAATCTGTTGTATGAAATGTTAATAAAGATGTTTTGCTGGTTTGTAGGTTCATTTACTAGAGTCATAAGAGCATTCAAAATGTAGGTACCTTTTCTTGAGCCTCTATATTTGGATATATCATACTATGTATAAATCATAATCCAATATGGTGATGCCTAGAGACAAGTGTTACGACAGCGGGGGTCACGTGACACTAGTAACGCATCATATTCTCGAAAGTTCACGTCCCCTCCTGAAGTCTCAAGATGCTACTAGATATGCGATAGTCTTGTATATATAAGCTGCCAAGAACTGACAGCAACAATGTGTAATTGAACTGTGGACAGAGAGAGACGTATTGTTCAGTCGAGCACGTGAGACGTTCGTTGTGAATTATAGCGTTTGTTATAGCGCGACTGTGGAAATTAAGTGTATTGTAAAGTTGTATTCAGAAAGAATAAACCAGTTTTATTTAAGAAAGGATTTGTATCGCTAAAGTTTCTTCGGAAAGAATTTTTACGGAAAATTAACTAACGAACAGAGACGTAACACAAGAAATTGACTAGCTTTGTATTTTTCAACAGCTTCTAAACAGATTTTTTGAAGTTAATACATTAATAGTTGCTAACCTAGACACCTACCTTTTAAAAATTGATAAGAACAAGGGGCTAATGATATAGAATTGCATGTCATTCGCCAAGTACCATGTCCAAGGCATGCACTAGATAAAAAAAGTTTTATAAAGTCTTTATATTTGGTACGGATTACACTAAAAGCATGATAAATAATAAAAATAATAAATATTTTATAAAGCAAGACAACTAAAATATGAAAATGATCACTCTCCAAATTCAAAATAATTGTTAAGCGAGATCTATGCATTAAAGAGAAATTTTGGTAATTTAAATGCAATTTAATGTCAATGACAGTGCTCAGGCATAAACATGACACTAAATCAAAACTATTATTAAATTTATTTTAACCTTAAAATTACCTATTTGTTTTTAAATAAAATATTAATATTATTACTTTCCAAATTTGAAATAACTGTTAACTGAGATTTATGCATGAAAGAGAAATTTTGGTAACTTCAATGAAATATAATGGCAATGACAGTACTTAGACATAAACATGACACTAAATCAAAACTGTCTTTAAATTTATTTTAACCCTAAGATTACTTGCTTGTTTTTTGTGGCATTCATCACTAGGAGGGTGCTACTTATTCTATCATAATCAGTAATTTTATATTTTTGCTAGCTACAACATTTATTGTAAAAATAACAACAATAAAAAAGTTTGGGTGATATCAATCATTATGTATGTAAGCAACATAGGAGACCCCATCAGTAAATTGCCAAATTAATTGTAATATTGATGGTAGTTTTGTTTAAATGTTTTTGTGACTCATGTTACTAGAGTTCCTGTAACCAATAACATCATAAGCCTACAATCAACATGAAACACATATAGTTTAGAAATGTTTGGTGACCTACTTCTCTGATTCTAGGGCTAATGGTTTTCAAGTTTTTTGTAATAAAACCTTCCATACTGTCAAGACTAATATCCTATCATTAACTATAAACAACATGTAGTAAAATATAACTTTCTAATAGAAAATGTTTAATACAAAACAAACTTTCCACAAGATTTCCATTATGGAAAATAGACAAAGTTTTATATAATCCAACAAATAAATAAATACTTATGTTTGTTTATTACCTATAATGAAATTTTTACTTTTAAATATAGCTTCATTCATACCATATATGTTTGATTCCACATGTTGTTGATGTACAAAAGATTTCGCCACCAGTAATTTGAGCACTTCGTTCCTTCAGTGCCCTCCTCAGGCCAGTATGGTCCCGATCCAAGATGCTTCCATAAAACAGCATCAAAAGCAAGTAATAACATAAGTGTTGGGGTTAACCTGGTATAAATAAACATACAAAAAACAAAGCAAAATTACCATATAAAGAAGTAACTCTTAGTACAGTTAAAAAGAATAGTGCTTTTACTAGCTAAGCTCAAGGACTAATCCACTATTATTACCAGAGAGACACCTTTCAACCACTACTGTCAGTTCACAGATGAGGCTTGTTCTTGAATCTCTCACAAAATCAAAGTTGAGGGCTGTTTATTTGATACAAGTTATTACAACATAGTAAGATCAATTATAATATCAGTCACATCTTCCTTTACTTGCCCAGTATTGGTTTCCAATAATAAAAGTATGTAATATCTATTGTATCCTGCTCTCATACAGCAAAATCAGACTGATTAGCTTACAACATATAAAGTTTTAGTTCAAAGGCCTTTATATTGGCTATTTACTATAAATCACATTTTTGGTGCATAATGGATAAGTAGGTAATATGCATATTGAATCACTATATAACTGATAGTGATTTTAACTAAATGTGCACAGGGTTGGTTCTTTAGACAGATTTTGTATTAGAGAAGGAATGTTCACTAATTAAAAAAAACAGTTGTGTTACAAAAGTACTTATATTCAAGATATGTCTGTGAATTGATGATGTCAGTGTGACTCAGATAAGTCAGTAATTGTAATTGGTTTGAATTTCATGCAAAGGTACAAGAGGGCTACCTGAGTGAGCCGTCCCTAATTTAGCAGTGAAAGACTTAAGGGAAGGCAGCTAGTCATCACCACCCACTGCTAACTCTTGGGCTACTCTTTTACCAACAAATAGTGGGATTGACCATCACATTAAATAGCCTCAATGGCTGAATGAGTGAGCATGTCTGATGGGATGGATTTTCGAACCCGCTACCCTCAGATTGCAAGTCAGGTGTCCTGGCCATCCCGGGCAAGATAAGTCAAAGTGCAAGGTTCACGTGTAGCATAAAAATACTTTTGTCCATTGTACAGTTTATATATTGCATTTGCATAACCTCTAGAACCCTGGAAATGTATATCTACAGTTTTTCAATATCCCTGTATACTGTATCTGATATTTATTCCACCATGAACTGTTGCTAAATCAGCAGTGTAGAGTAAAATGAATAATTGATACCTCTAACATCAAATACATAATACAATGATGAATGGCACTCTGTAAAAGGTCATGGCATACAAACTTTGAATATGGTTAATCACACTCACTAAATTTTTAAATGGACATGTTTGTACATAAACTTACAGCACCCATATTTCCTGGGATTTCATTATCCACGTGGGTACGTGATAGAGAAAACAAAATAAATTAGAATTTTTACCAAATGAGCAAACAAAGCATATTTCAACAGATCAAATTACTATTCTTTAACATTTACAGTTTTCTTCATTTTATAAGCAAATATTTTTTTTCTAAATCCTGCGAATTGACAAAAAACAACAACAAAAAAAACTCTTTCAAATAAAGTCAAAGCTTATCTCACCAGTTCCTTTATTATATGTCAAATAAAAATTAATACTCAATATTAGTTATACTTATTATTTTTGAATGTTTAATTTCACTAACATTTATATCACTTCCATAAGGCTTTTAATTAACCATTTAAAATATAAGTTGACACCACTTGTTTTTTTGCTTCTTGTCTGGTTGTGGCAGGATCATGCAATTTTATGGGTTAATCATAAACATCCTTCAATTAATTGTAGGTTTTTTCTTTATTTATGTTCATGAAAAGTTATCAATATGTGAATGGTTGAACACTGTGAAGCAAGTCTTTAAATTTGTCTATGTCATCCTGTATATGTAATATTCTTAATTTATAGGAGGTTGGAGGATTTAATTTCTGATTATTCATTCAGTTTAGATCTAATGCCTTAGAAGTAATTTGTCTTTCCAAAGTTTTGGAAAGTTTATACTTAGTTATCGTATAGTTGCAATGAATCCTGGCTATATATAGCATATTATATGCTTAGTTTCTAACTCTCTCTACAGGTTTGGTTGATTCGACAAAGTAAATGAACTCAAAGTGACCATCAGCTTTCTTTATAACTTAAAATGTTTTGTGTATCTTCACAAAATTTTGCAAGCTTTCAGTAAACATTACATGTCTTATTTACCCTAACTCTATACTCATTCAGTCAACTCAACTGACCCTATAACTATCATAAAAAATGAAATAAAACTAAATTAACTTTTTTCTTCCTAGAATTGTTCAATTTGGGGCATGATGGTGGGTAAAACAAAATATGCAGTCTAGCTAACTAATGAATGAATATTTGCTGTAAAATTCTTATCAATGCTATAAGTGTAGCTACCAGCTTGGCAGCCAATTTTTATTTCAATCCTTTAATTCGCATGCTCAATCCATTTTGGAAATACTTTTTCTTCATGTTTAAGGTGTTTTTCATTAGGTATCAACAAACCATAGCAACTAAGAAAGTAACACTTGATAGCAACCAACATTAGCTTTAGGCTTGCAACCCTATTATTTGAAACAGACCTGTACTTTACAGAACTAACCAGATTGTTTAAAATATATGGTGGTAGTTTCTCCTCTCTAAAACAACTGTCTTTAATCCAAATGACAAGAAACTAAAAAAGATTTACTTTTAATCTTAGATGAAACTGTGGTACAATTTTCACAAAATAGCTCATGTGACTTTGTGTGGGCATGCACAAAACTTTGGATCAAAATTTAACTGCTTTTGTTGAATAACTTTGCACATGTGACTTATATTTAGACCAAATTTGACATCTAATTGTAGCTTATAAACATCTATCAGTGTACCAAACTTGAAAAAAAATCCATGAAAATTATGTTTTTTTTTTAATCAAATAACTTTTTAGTGTGATCGTTATGAAGAAGAAAAAATAAGAAATTCAATCAAAACTGGAGATTTTATATCTCATGTTTCTTAACAGATTGCCTTGAAATTTTGTATGTGGAGTAAGGGTCTAGTATAGCACATCCACTGAAAATATGTGATATTTTAGATTACCCTAGTCCGAGCTGCTGAAAGTGGAAAATTGCTAAACTATCACTCCTGTTAATAACACACAGTGTGTCCTGCAGGTTGTTTTAGCTGCACTACACAATACCGTGTGTCTTGATAAAAACACTTTTAAGGAAATTTGTAATGCACTACCAGCACTATACGCAAATATACTCATAAGTTGCAGGGGATTACTTTTGAAAATGCATATAGCATATAATAAATAATTAGTGATAGTTGCATGTCCAATATGTCTTTACATCTTTACACAACTGAACATGAAAGATAAAAACAGGGTAATAATAATTTAAATATAATTTGACCTATAGTATTATTTTATGACAATACTTAAAATGATAAAGGTTCAGAGTGGCAAAAACACAGAATGCTGGCAACAATACAAGGAATTACAATGCCCAAGAACATGCAAGGTAGATGAATGCCACCACCTAAATACCAACAAAAACAACTAGATAGAAGCTAGCTGGTAAACCTTGTATATGAGGGACTTCAATCATATGCACAGTCCTGGCAAAATTTCTTCCTTAAAAGTCAGTGAATCTTCACCTATGATTTCTGGTTAGGAACTGTGAGAACAACATATAGATGTAAGCCACTTACCCTCATGACACAGCAACTAATCTGGATCTAACTACACAGTCAGGACTAGAAGCACAAAATAGGAATCACAAGATATAAAATTAGAAAATCCTGGCCTATGTCTTTTATTGATGTAGTAATTTTTTCTTTTTAGTTCAGTTTTCTTCTAGTCCACTTACTGGTACATTTAGTACTTTTCACAATAATGACTAGGTCACATTGTATATCCAATTTTCATACTTTATAAAAGTTTTGATAAATGAGTTTGGTTGTATCAGGGCCACTTTGCATGCTGCAAGTAAGGGAAGTTTATTAAGTACTACTCACAATCTATCTTCAAAATTAAAAAAAAAGATATGATTTAAACACATTTTAAGAGAAACAAAACTCATGACATAATTAAGTATTACAGCTTACCTAGCACATAAAAAAACGAAAAACATTTATATTAGAGCCCTCTGTTTAGTCTTTCCAAGTCTATTTACCTCAGCAAATTTTAAACTTAAAAATAAACCAAAATGTAATTCATTAAACATAGTTGCACTGTGATACATAGACAAAACATTATCAATAACAAAAATGAAGAAATACAAAGTATAGCAAGTACTATACAAGTGTGTTTGTGTAAGAGAATAGAACTTACCTCCAGAAACGATGAACGTAAAAGTACACCCACTTAAACCAAGTAGTTCTACTCTTGTGAGACTCTCTTAAGAATAAGTAGGTAACGAGTAGTCCACTATACACAAGTAGAACAAAAAACAAAACATTCTAATATGAATATTTATAATAAAATATGATACAGTAATGTATAAAAAGCTCAAATCTCACTAAACTTTTAACTCACTCACTACAATATTTTTTTTCTTGTTTAAACAATATCTGTCATGTTGAGGATGTAATCACTACAAAATTCTGTTCAAATTCTGCTAATACTTTGACATGAAGAGATATGATAATCAGTATATAAGAACAAATCAAATATACATAAAATCATCCAACACTGGAAGTATGAGTGTGAATACACCAAACATTATGAGGATGACTGCAATTATACAGACTACCTACATGATCTTGATACAACTAATTGTAAGTAAATTTGGAACAGATACTACAGTTATAGGTTCTTACCTTGTGTACATACATGTACTGCCATAACATTATTCATTATTACTGACGATGTTAGCTCATGTGTCATTCTATGAATACACAAATAAAGATGATTTTTAATTTATATAATTATGAAATTATAGAAGTCTCCTTGTTATTTAATGATTATAAACAAATTTTAAGAGAACTTTATGAAACAACAGATCAATTACACAAATCTCTGATGATTTTTTGTTCTTTATAGCTGGCAACACCTAATTACAGTGCTGGAAAAAGTATACACTAAAGCTAAATTAAAATACTTCTCAGCTGAATATTCAACTTTTAAAAATATCAGTATTGAAAATATTTTCTCATAAAATCAGTATACCACTTCTTTATAAAACCACCATTTTCTAAGTTAAGCATTTTTAATTTGCTTCTGAAAAATTTAGTAGTAGAATTTTTGCACCAAACTTAAGGGATGTAATATACATGTATGATACACCAGAGAAATTCAAACTTGGCAGCCTCATAAAGGCAAAAGTTTGCATACAACTCAACAATATTCTGAGTATGTTTATGTAATAACGGTGTACAGTCGCATACCCAAATAGAATTATATATATTTTATAACTATAAATAGACAAATGAGATGTCACATTAGGCAGTGTCTGAAGATTTCAGCTAAAAGCCAATTAAATATCATGCACATGAAGAGATAGTAACCAAGTACAATAAATTTATTAAATATATTAACTATTATTCAAGATACTCTCAGCTTCTTTTCACATTGCATGGATATGTAGTAAATAAAAGTCAATGCTTCCAAAATTCTATGACTTATTGAAAGGATGAAACCAATTAATTATCTAGTTTTTTATATAAAAATTAGGCCTAATTTTATAATTTTCATTATTAAAACTCCTCACACAAAGTATCCTTAAAAATAAAATGTTTACAAGTTTGGGTCCTGATTTCAAGATATAGTTAGTTTTTTTCACTATTGAATTAACACTCAATTATCATTTTTAAGATAAAGTTCTTTATTAATCAGTATTTTATCTTTGGAACATTTTTCCAAGCAATCTACAATGCATAAAACTTTTTCAATATTTTGTTTGAACTTAATAAAAAACAACAATAAACATGGATATACAAGATTCATACAAGTACAGCTTTCAAAACTAAGACACTACACAAAGTGCACTTCAATGGACAGTGCTATTCACAAAAGTATTATTAGAACTAAGAAAAAATATTTTATAGAGGGATACTTAAAGAAGAAATATTCATTAATAGGAAGCAGCTTAAAAATTAGAGGTGACTAATAACATCTACAAATAACTAGTTTACCTGGATTTTGAATTAGGCATTTAATATTGGAATTGTAAGGACAAAGCTTTAACTGTTTTGCTGAAGATCCAGTAGTAACACAAGTTGAAAATTCATCATTAGCATAAAAAAATTATGAGATAATATATTTACAGTTATAAAGATAAGTTAAACAGTAATTATGTAATATTCTGATTTAAAACTTATTTTGTAAACTATATTATTTATTTATTTTCAGAATTTTCAAGCAAAATTACACAAAACCTATATGTACACAGCTCTCCCTCATTTTAAAATGAGAAAGATATCTAGGCAAGAGCACCCATGGCCCCAAAGTATGGAGCACATTTTTATGGCAATGGGATGTGAAACAAACCCTCAATTTCAAAGTTTGAGCACACTAACTACCAAGCCATACCTGGCATAAACCCACATTAAATATCAAAGTCTGTACATGTTGTAGATTGCTACTGCCAATGTCACAACAGAAAAAAAAAGATATGTTATACTAGACATTAAAAATACTCTGTTTCAAACTAATGCAACACTTCAATGAGCAATCACAACATATATCTGCATTCTTGCCTATAATTGTATTAAAATATTATAAGAATTAAAAAAATTATAAAGTGATTTTTTCCAAAAGTCAGTCACAATAGTTGAATTTTATTCTGTTTTTATTTGAGTAACATTTAGTTTTATTTCTCTTAAATACAACTGTATAGAAAGTAATATTGGTTGTTACTTACCTCAAAAGAAAAAATGTGTCAACAGAAAATGGTCCCTGTATAACAGCCTCAAATGCTCTTGTATTAACCAGTTCCAAAACTTCTAGAAAATTTTCTAATAAGAGAGAGAAAAAAAAAGTAAGTGCCATTTTGTAAACAAGTTCCTAAAAAGTAAAAGCTAATTACTAAACATGGCTGATCAGTTAGAGGATTTCATTTTCTGAAATTAAGATTCTATGGAAAGAGGAAGTTGTAGTGTGAATATTATAATCAATATTTAAAACTTTTAAGCACAATTATTAATCATCTGCATCATTGATTGTCACTAGCTGAATATTTCTTTTTTTGCACTATTTGAATTTACCATCTATTGAATAGTACACATTAGAAGCTTTAAGAGTCAAAACCCTGCATTAGTATCAAGGTATTTAACCAAGATTTAGATATAATCTAAAGAATTAATATATATATATAAAGCAGACAAAAAAATTACCACACATAGACTTGAAAATAGATTGGTATTATATCAAATGCTTTTGATTTAAAGAAAGTTGACCAGCTAGATATCAGTGAGGATTTTAAAAATAAACAATTTATTTACATCAAAACATTTATGTTACCTTACTAATGGAAAACTGGCAAACAACCTAATACCTTAACTATGACAGACAGGTAACTTCTGGAGAAAACTTATTCCATCAAACATTAATACTGGAAAATGAAAGTTACTATGAATATACTAATATGAAAGAGCATCCTTACCAAAGAGAGGATACCCAAATAGGTAAGTATGACCCAATATAACCCAAGACATGCTGAGAAATCGAATGCCGTGCACACAACCAAGTTGACCTTTAGGTGGGGTAGCATCCAGTAACTTTGCTCCATTAGTGTACACAGAAAAACACAGAAGAATATCCCCGATAGCACCTAGGGAAGTAAGTAAGAGCAAAAATGTAACATCTATTTCCATATTAACTATTATTAATTAATTTATTTGATTTGTTTTTGATGACAAAGTGGAATGTAATTAAAAAAATATTGTCAGTATAATTAGTACACATATATATATTATGGAAAGAAATTGAGTTTTTATAAAGTTTTGCATAAACATATTTATGTTCCTCATTACTTTGTTTTGCTGATTGCCTCATATCTATGTATGGGTAGTTTCAGATAAATGAAAATTTGGAATTTTATATGAAAGATCCAGTTTTTGTAAAAGTTCCTATTTTTATAAATGGCCCTTGGAAATAAATTTATACAAAAAGAGAACTAAAAGATCACAAAGTCTTATTAAACTCAAAATAATGTACTAAACTTACAAGTTACAATGTAATTGAAACACCAAATTTGTTTTACACATACCAAAAAAAAAAAGAAGACAGAAAACAAGTTTCACTACGGTCAACACTCTTTAAAAAATATTTTTATCGTACAACTTTTCAGAAACAGGTCCAGATACAGTTAAACTAATGGTTAATACAAACTTCCAAGAAATATCCTTCAGTCGTCAGCATAACAAAGGTCCTTATGATCATTGAACAAAGAAGTATGTAACATGCAAAAATAGATTGGTAAAAATGTGACCATGTTCCATACGAGGCTCAGCCTTTCAAGTTAGACCTACACTGTTCTCCTATACATGCTTTTCTAAAACTTTTTTTTTATATTTCAAACCTTTTATATGGTTTACTTAAAAATTAATTTTCTATTCTTTAACACCTAGTTAAGTTAACGTTAACCCACATACAATTACAAAACAAATACTATTGTACTATATTCTCTGTCAGATACACAGTAAAAAGTATAGATACTGATAAAATTAATTACATTATTGTTATTAATGTAAGTACAGATAACTGAGATGATGTGCTGATTGTTACAAGATTACATCAAGCCCTTGCTCCACTTTTTTAACAATTCATCATTAGTTTGAAATGTAGTTGAATGCCATTTATTCAGCTAAGTTTCATCATACATACTCTGCCTAAATAATCTATCAAAGAATCACCATTAGTTTGTTAGTATATTGTATCAAATTTTACATAGTAGTGAATTTTGAATACCATACTGGTGAAACTTTTGATATTATAATAAGACCAAACACAGTTGGTACAATGAGACTGTAACACAGGCAAATCACCCATGTTTGTTATGTTTATGGCAAAGATACTAAGGCTATCAGCCACCATTCCTAACTTTGAACAGCCAACCAGAGGGAAGACAACAGATTGGCAGCACCAACCACCAGCTCTTGGTATAATTTTTTACAAATGAATAGTGGGATTGTAATCTGCAGGTCATGGAATCGAAATCCAGTGCTGAACGTGCTTGTCCTTTCAGCTATGGATTTCGATTCCACGACTTGCAGATTACAAGTCAAGCATCTTAACCACCAAGCCATACTAGACCAAAATCATTTGTAACTTCTTTGTTAAGTAAAATGTGTTCACGTGTCATTTGCTTAATAGTAATTTTTAGATGTACACAAATGTTTAATTTTAATGCAAGTGTTATGATTTAGATGGATTAAGTACAGTATGAGTGTTAAATTTAGTTCTGTTCAGCAGCGATAGTTTATCGCAGATTTGTTAACTGTATGTGAATCATACGTTGAGTAGTTCAATTGTTGTGAATTGGGGTTTGTATTATTGCATTATGTTACTAGAAACTTCTAAGTTTTCTTCTTGTTTCAACCGAGTACTATTGCATTATAATATCTGGTAGTGTGTACAGTATTCGAGGTCTTAGTCAAGCTATAAATATGAGTACAAAATGTAGTTTGAGTTAGTTATAAAGATAGTTAGATAAATAGGTAGACCTAGACTGTGTAATCTTTAGTTATAAAGAGCATGTATAGTGACAATTTAAGTGAAATTATCACAGATTGTATTGTAACAACAGAGTAGAGAAGAATAATTCATCTTGTCAATTGTGTTCTAAAGTAATTGAACCAGCCTCTGTGGACTTTGATGTAAAAGAGACAATTACTGAAGCTCTGGATACAATTGTATAACAAACATTTGTATATATGTTTGACTTGTTTTAATATGTCATATTAAAACAAGTGGATTGTATGTTGTTTGTTTATTGTTGAAATTTATTGCTGACAAGTCACAGACACTGACTGTAAAGAATCCAGCCAATACATACAAATTAAAATCTGACAGTAACTTGAATTTTTCATTATAATCTACTGTCTAACACACACACTAATCATGTTGCACCAGCTGCAAAGTGTATATACATTACAAAGTAATTATTCATGTCACTTCAACATCATTACCATCTAAACAAGGTACACTGCATTGTCTGTTAGCTAAGTATGTGAATTATCAGATACTCATATGAGGTGGCTGTATTAGACTTGCATATATAGGCAAAGACAAATTGATTTTTCAACTTTTCTTCACATTTCTACCCAATTAACACTATTTGAATTGTAATATGGTTACAAAAGTTATAAAAGTTTAGAATATAGTTTGCTAGGAATATGATACTACAGAAAAACCTCTTTAAATAAAGACATTGATACTTAATTGTAGGGAATAAAATCTTGTTAAAGTTAAGGTAAATTGAAATAATTCTAGTATTTTAAGTGAATAAACAATCATTTTAAGCTTTATCAGTATAGTTAATTTAACTTTAATTTCTTACTAAATAATTAGTCACAAGCAACCCTAGTTTTGTGCTAACTCATAGATTATGGAAATGTTTCTGTTCAGTTGAACAAAATAATGGATTAGACATTTGCTTTGAAAGTGGCAGAGATAAACAGAAATTAATTTCACACATGACAGCAACATCTTTTTCATTATCTGTTTGTCCACTGTCACTAGTGCCATAGGGGCTTGCAGATATTTCACTAAAGCAATTTCAGAATGAGTTGAATCTCCTGCAATAAATTTTTCACAGGTGGGGAGAACATATCTATGTCATTTCCATTTAACCTATTTTCAACCAAATGTGATAGTAAACTTTGAGAGATAGTGCTTTCCCTATCAAACCCTGCCTGCTTTGTTTGTTACTCTATGAAAATCCTATTTTAAAGCAAGGATCCAAAAAAATAGATGGGTAAAACTTGATTTGCTTTGTATTTTGTAATTCTATTTTCAAATCATTTTCGTTCACTGTTTCTAGTCCAAAATGACTTATAAACAGCTATTCTCATTCAATGTTGCCCTCTATATGCAAAATGTTTTTCACATGCCACAAGCTTTGAGCTCTCACATACCTTACAATCAAATGGTTCAACTGCATCTTGTATGTGAAACATCATGTGACAACCCTCCACCAACAGGAGTGTGACACACTCTACTGATGCATGTGACTCCCTCTATTCTATTCTACCGAATTATCACTTGGAGTTTTGGCAGAAAATGGAAGCACCAGTTTTCAGTGGGGAGGAAGGGTGGGAAGTTTGAGAGGTGATAAGTACCTATAGGAAATATATTTTCAGTATAGTAAAATTGTAACTTCCGATGCAATACATTACCTTCGCTCACATAAATAGGTAGAATCCCACACTGAATAGGTGGAGGGACCAGTGCGAGGGAAAAACAAAGAAGCATCCCCAGAGGAAGGACGAATGGAATAAGCTGACAAAGAAGTGACCCGCGGAGACAAACCAGATCTCCTCCCCAGGGACTGGATAGAAACCATGCATGAAGACAGAGGATATGAAGGGCTGGATGAAATGCAGAGTACCAAGACTGATGTAGAAGGGATGGAGTAAGAGGAAGAAGTAATGGTGGGTCAGACTGTAGCTGGAGCAGCCGCAGAAACCACGATTGTGCTTGACACAGAGTGGCATGGATGATCGAAATCACACTGGAAAGAAGACAGATGGGAGGATAATCATACGGGTATTTGTTGGTCCATTCTTGACTGAATGCATCGATAGCCAGATCAAGTGGATGAGGAACCAGAGACCAAACATACGTAACTTGGTATTGAGGGATGTGGCAAATGCATCCAGGTGAGGAGTACCCCACTGAAGGCATAGCCACTGGATATACTTTGTTGGGACAGAAAAATGATCCGCAACAAGATTGAATGCACCTAGAACATTGCAAGTAAGGAATGAATATCGAGTGTGTGAGCCTAAAAAAAAGGAGATCTATGGTTTGACCACAAAGAGAACGAGAATGGATATCACCTTGATGACTGATATAAGCCATCACCGTAAAATAGTCGATATAGATCATGACCAGATGATTCCAGGCAATATGGTGGTAAGGTACATGGGAGCTCAAGGCTTGTGGCATGCAAAAAATATTTTGCATATAGAGAGTACTACTGAACGAGAATAGCTATCTACGTAAGAGGAGGTAAGTACTTGTACTTATCAGAAATATATTTTCAGTACAGGAAAATTATAAAACTTTAGGATATTAATGATCATTATGCTAACAATTACACTATGCATTTGGTGAAATAACAAGGTATTTGTTCACTTGGTGAAGAAAGCACATTCAAAATACAAGTTACCAAGCAAAATTTTGTTTTTGGCACTTGCTCCTGCTGGAAAGTAATAAACATAATTCTTTCTATATTCATTCAGCATATGTATATGAATGTTATTTGAGTAGAAAACAGAGAAAGTACAGTTGCATATGAATAACAAAAGGGGGATAAAAGTATGATCACATACCAAGCTCCTTTTAATGTTGATATTTACAGGAAATAAGTGATGCATGAAATTTCCATTCTTTACGATTGGAAGACATCCAATACATTTCATAATGTAGTAAGATCTTTTAGATTAAAGTGGGAAAGATGCCAACCATAAAAAACTTACAAGCATTATTGCGGTAAAAACAGTATGATTAGTAGGTTTCAATGCTTACCTAAAAGTGCTGATTTCCGTGGTTTGGGAAAGAAGCTCTCTGTGAGAGAATCACTTCTAACGACATCAAAATCAGATTTCGCTGCTTCTGTTGGGACATATACTTCCAATTCATTATTGATGGTATTGACAGCTTCATTACATTCAGGATTAGAAAAGTGAGCTGAATGTGGACTGCTGATAGTAATTTCAACATTCCCTGGTTTAGACTGCACAGCAGTAGAATCTGATTGGTCAATAGGATGTTTTTCTTCCCCTAATTGGTTATTAGTGCAAACTTTATTTTCTCTCTTGTCAAAATAGAATCTTTGGAAGACATCATATGTAGTGCCCATTACTAGTAAGGCTCCAATAATGGAAAACAGAACCCTGAAATAGTAGTTATGAAAGTTTTACAAATCTTAAACAAGTACATAACATTATCAGCTTTATATTGTTGTAAGGGAATTAATTACTTGTGTGTGTGGTGATCATTAAAAATTTTGATACCATTCTTTCCGAGGTTCTGTTAGGATTGGTACAAATCACCAACTGTTTAGAATGGAAAAAGAAAATTCATGATTAACAGAGCAACAGCAACAGATGAACGTGTAATTTCACAAAAAAGCACAACATATTCCCACATGCTGGAAGTTTTAGATAAACTTGAGTCACTACATATTTAAATACAAACTCACAGTTATCATATATTAATCATTCAAAGAAAAAAAAATATTTTTCTTTTTAGATATGCAGCATACCATTTTATTTGTAAGTAAATACTATGATGAGGAATTACATAAACCGTATATGGACCACAAATTATCATTCAGGTATCAAGAGTACACCTGCCTAACCAATTTCAAAGTTTAAGTAAAATAATAGTTCTAACTCTTTTAGCTATTTTTAATCCAGAAATATTTTACAAATGATAATTTTCAATTTTGTAACACTTATTTAGTAACATTTGCAAAGATAAATGAATTTTTTTTTAATTCCATTTCTGCACAGTTCTGTGGAGTCTCCTAACCTGCAAACATCACACTTATCAATTTTTTTATAATTTTTCTGGCCATTCCAAAGCATAGGTTTATATTTGCTTAGAAAATATCATCCATAAAGAACATAATTATCTATGTTTTGTTTCCCCAGTGATTTTCATTCCCTTTTAGTGGTTTTGTTATTACAGCCTTGTACTCCAGGTTTGAAAAAAAACCAAAAAACTACAGGTAACCTTTAGAGTATGATAGAGTATGACTGATATAGAGTAAACAGTGGTTTAAGCAGTAAAATATAGTTTAGTTGGAAATATCATGTAGTTGGCTTATTAATGGCCTTTTTGAACTATGTTTTTATAAAAAAAAAAGTAACAAATCTAGTAAGCATGCATTTTATACTTTTTTTATTTTAATGTATAAATTTTAAATATTTATAGTTCATTTTGAGCCTGTGGAATGTTTGCATAACACACGTTCCAGAAAACTGTTCACTCCATTTTAATTATAATTGTTTCTTTGTTGTTCTCTACCAATAATACCTGCTCTGTCAATGGGAATTTTGCTATAACTCTGCATGTTGCACAAGAAGGTCAACAACACCAGTGTCCTTCACTAGTAAGCAGACAATACCCAGAAGTTATAGCCTCCCTTATGTTGAATGAGAATGATCAGTCATCTTGGTAGCATTATTGACTACGAGTAAGTCCAATATTTCCTGTTCGGTAAGGAGCATTGAATCAAAACAGTTCTACCAAGTTTCTGAAGTGAGTAGGTTAGCAGGAAGGTGTCTTGAGGGAAAGAAATCTGTTATTCTAATCACAGATTCAGTAAAAGGAAACTGCCTTGTTTCCTAAGCAAGTATGTACACTTTATTTTATGTGTATTGATGAATAAAAATAGTTCACTTTTTCTTTTACACATTATGTTAAGTCTGATTATCTTCCTCAAGATAAAACTCAAGTCAGCTTATTTACACTTAGACTACTTTGTGGTTTATCTTGCTTGATCCTCCCATTATAAAGTGGACTTACCTTACTTCTTTGAGAGAAAATCAGTTAATCTGAGAACACCATACTCAAAGACCTAACATTTTGCCGCTAAGCTTTTATCAACAAATGTTCTATTTATCATAAATTAGACTGAAGTTTTGCAGTTAAATAAAAAAGCTTTATTTTCTGGAAGCATTAATTTTTTTTTCTCAAATTTTCTTATAATTAACTCACAATCCCTTTCTTAATATGACTATAAACAGGTAAATCTTAATATTTAGACACTCTTCTCCCTGATTATTCTGTTATCTACACACTTACAAGACTACAATGTCTCCAGTTTTCCATGGAATAGAATCTGACTTGCATACCACTCGGCTCGGAGAAAGATTTTTTGTTACTCCATTTAGGATAGGGATACTACCTGGAAATACAGATATGAGGAATGTATGAAAAGAAGTTCAGATTTTTTTATAGCAATGTTTATGTTTTATCCGCCTACAACACATAAAAGTGTGGTTTATTCTTTCATTGTAATATTTTTCTGTAACTCTGGTAGTTCAAAACATTATTTAATGTTATACATGTACTATAAAAAGACATGAAATTAAAATAGGAAGCGAGAAAAAGTGCAAATTTGGCTGTATTTTTGTAAGATAAAATGAATACCTAAACAAGTAAAATAAAACTTAAGATCTACATGCAAGTAATTCAAACAATAAAAAGTTCACACTTATAAGATACTTCTGTGTCGATGTGACAAATGTATATAAAAAAAAGGAGCTTCATAGAAGACAGTGAAAGCTTTTAAAATAAGAATAAATATAAACAAACAGAGGAAGTTGTTAATAACATTTCAGTAACCTACTTCCAAAATGACACAAATACAATTATATTCTCAGATAGCTGTTATACACTTCATTGTTTGGGCAAAATTATTCTTAGGTATATGTACCTTTATAAAAAAGAACATTTTTATAATAACTATAATAATGTGTTGAAACTTGTTCTAATCCAGCAAAGATGCATATCTGTAGTCAAGTTTCAATAGGTTATGAATTTATTAACTCCCACCAATCACTGAAAATCGACTCTTACCAAAGTAACAACATAAATGATTAACTTGGAAAAGCAGTTTTAACCAAAAGCGAAGTCCCTTAGTTATGCTTCTCCTGCTGCCTCAAGTGAACAAAATATTCTCAAACCTGAGTTACAGTATAGCTTCATATAAGTGATATAACTATATTCTGAAGCTCAAGCCTTCACAAATAGTTTGTTTGTCTTAAGAGTGTTGTGCCAAGGAAATGAATCAGCTTTTGATTTACACAAAGTTCTCACCAGTAATACTGCATAAGGAGAATATGTCACCCTCTGTTTGTGGAGGGATATAGTATAATGCTGACTGCACCAGACTAGTGCAGTTCACATTATCATATGAAGGAGGGAGAGCTCTTACAATGGCTTTTCACATGTAACAAAATGTTTCACCTGTAGCACCGATTCACTATTTATTCTGTGGAAAGGTGAGTGATGTAATCTGAAGCAATTATTTTAATAGTTTTATGTCAAAGAAAAAATTCTTTACTACATTTTGTCTTGGTAAAGTGCCAATGCATTTAATTTACTACAAAAATACTTCAAATACTGTAATCAGTCTAACAATATTTGAAGTGTTTTTGTAATACTTAGATTAAAATAAAATGTAGCAATGAAAAAATAGTCTGAAAGTATTCTACAGTAAATACTAAATAAGTTGTTATGGTATAAATGTTTTTTTCTGGAGAGACACGATTAAAATCAATTACGACAGCCATATGAAAATGGTATTAGGCTCGCAGTATGTTTAGAAACATTTTTTCTTTTGTCTCTTAGGGCTTTTCTGAGAAATGTATAATATAATCTAAACCACATTATGTCTGCTATATTCATTGCTGATGACACATTTGGTCAATATCAAAGCTTATGCCACACATACAATGGTTGAAATACTATAATTATTTTGGGAAAACCCTTAGGGACTGAACAACAAGCATAGTATTTAAAAATACAATAAACCTAATGCTATTGCCTTATGACAAACATAATTAATCATAATCAAGCTTCTCCAGCAAAGGTGTTATCAACTGTCATTCTAACAAATGGCTTAAATACGTAGCATTCTGACTACTGCTATGTTTGTAATATACCAGCCAGTGAAGACAGGTTGGTTCAGATATTATTGCACACTCTTCTTCTTGGAAAACTTAAAGATTAAAGGATGTAGTGTTTAAAAATACAATAATCCTAATATTATTGTCTTGTAACAAATATAATTGACAAATTAAAATAATAAAAAAAGAGGAATATGAATACCTATCTTCTTCCACAATGATTTGATTTCTTTTTGAATTTTGTCACTTCTGCAACTGCTTGGCACACATATACCAATATTAAGTGGGATATTGGCCTAAAAATATTGAGCATGTATTAGGTTTATATGATCAAAATATTGTATTATGAAAACAAAAGCTTATCATATGGTTTATGCTGTTATGTGAAATTCAACCAATTAAAAATTTATGTCTATTACCAATCCTCTCATTTTGTAGAATTATTGAATACAGTAAAATATTAGCAAACTTAAGGTCACTGAATTATAACAGAGATTTAATCATTATGACATTTATATTGTTCCAAATAAGACAGGCAGTTATAAGAGCTCAGGAATGAATACAAAGATATAAAGTTTTTTTTTCTTTATCTTACTTTGTCAAGAAACAAAACAAAAACATATGGGAGGAGCCAAAAAACTATAAAAGACAGAAACAAAAATAGACTGAGAGGTAATCTGAAGTCTCAAAACTGCCAAACAAATTTACCCACTGGAGCTCACTCTAGAAAAAAAAAAGTTATTTCACTAAATATAAAGCACAATGTCTGGATTTAGATACTGGCATGATTAATCAAACACTGAAGTTCAAGATTATTAATACAACAGTGGCTTTAAACTTTGAAGTTATAATCTTTATTTCTAAATACAAATATTCCAAATAGATTATGTTATGATGTTTACTATTCATAGCTTATTAAATATGATAAAATTTGTTCAACCATGCAAGACTTCTTGGATAGAACTTGTAAACTTATGCTCCTTTTTCACAAATAAGGTTTCTTCTACCTTATTTTAAAAACAAAATGCATTCAGTTCTGTGGGAAATTCAATATTTTTGCTACTAATAATGGGTATAGAAGTTTTTCCAAATATCACAACCGTTTCATAACTTTCATGTCTACACCTCAATTCTTTGGGAAATTGTTTAATTGTAATAGCTGGTTTTACTTTCCATTAATTAAAGCTCTTATTGTTAACACTAGCTATAAAACAGTTTTGTATATTGTATGACATTATGTCATTACTTAAGTTAAATCAAATTTTGCTAATTACTTTCTTTGCCACATCTACAAATGTTGTAACTATATTTTTTAAGTCTTAGTATTATTAGTAAACTTTCTAGAGGCTTACTGTGTTTACTTTTTGGCTTTTTACAAAAGATTTAACTTTATTTATTGCTATCTGTTGCCTACTTCTTTTGCTTTGTTAAGTGACAGAAGTTAAAGTGAGAGTAGTTGTGTTAGGCACATCTCATAGTACATTTACTATGTTGTTCTTTTAAATAAAATTTTAATATCTTAATTCCAAAACCAATATTCTAGCTATTTATTGTATGATTCAGGTAATCATTGAATTTATTATTTTGTATATTAATAAATTACTTCTTGGCTGTTCTCTTGGCAATGTCCTGCTACTTTAGTTGACACCTGAACAATGAAATGTGTTGTAGCAGTTTATCTCAGATGCCATGCTCCTCTAAGGTTAAATTGTTAGAGCTCTTTAACAGATTTTCACTCTCAACTTATATATAGGTTTTAAAATTGATATTTAAAACCCATCAGGTATTTTTCCCTCCCAATAGATTAAATCTAATAGGCACTTTACAATCTTTGCTAATTTTATATATTAATACATAATTTTATGTAACATAACTAAAGGCCATCAATTCCGGATCCTTTGTTTACATCCATTACATTTACTATACTAATAACTTCATCTGTTACTGGAGGGAAATAAATTGTATCAACTTGTGAGAATACACTCTTAAAATAATTATTTCTATTTGTGATATAGTTATTATTATCTTTATTATTATGATTAATTTTTACAGTATCTTGTTGATAAGTTATTTATTAAAATTATTTGCCAAATCTGTAATACTTATGTTTGTACTCAAGAGTTTTATTTTCTCATCAAATGATACATCACTAGCACAATTATCTACTAATTCATTAATGTATTTCCAAGTTTCCTTCATATTACTCTGAATATTAGCAAATGTTTTTCTACGGTAATTCTTTAAGCCCTCCTTATAAAGCATGTTATAGAATTTCTTTTTACTTTGTAAAGTGCTCCATTGATTTCATTCTTCTGACATTTATACTTATGCCATAAATTATCCTTCTCTCTTATCAAATCTAAAATATTAGAATTTCTCTTCAATTTTAATCTCAAACTTATTTTGTAAAAATTTCATTTGACATACGAACCATTTTTTTTTTTTTTATAGATAACCCCAGGATCTTTCAGGCTTAAGAGCTCTTCCCAACTGTAATTGTATCATTTGTAACCCTGTTTATTTTAATTTTATTACTCACTAAAACATTATCTATATTCTTTTTCATACTTTGTTTTATTGTTTTTATACTGCTTTTTAAATTTACCAATATATATAATCCTATGATCTGATATTTTTTCTTGAATCAAATAACTTGTTACATTTATATCTGTTAGTTTGTGGGAACATGGTTTAATTAACTTTCCACATCTCCATTCTTGTATTAACATTTATATTTTGTTGAAATCCATTAAACTATAAAAAATTCTGATAATCATTTATCAGATTACTGTTTTCATTATGCCTTTCTTTAATATTTATATCAACAAGACATACTACATGCATACAAGTGTTTAATACATTTAATATATTGTAATTATAAGAATTATAATTTGGAGATCTATAAATTGGAAGCATTAAACCTTTACAATCATCTATTTCAACAATAAATAGTAATACTTCTGCATCTTCCAATCTTAATTTCACTACTTCTAACAATTAAAAATACTCCAGCTATTTCATTACTCCTACATTTATACACTTTTTAAAAAACTTTCCAAATCATAATTTTGGATTTCATGTTTGTTATGAATTTTGCAAAAAGCTACACGAGGGCTATCTGCACTAGATGTCCCTAATTTAGCAGTGTAAGATCAGAGGGAAGGCAGCTAGTCATCACCACCCACTGGCAACTCTTGGGCTACTCTTTTACCAACGAATAGTGGGATTGACCGTCACATAATAATGCCTCCACGGCTGAAAGGGTGAGCATGTTTGGTGTGACGGGGATTCAAACCCACAACTCGCACCCTACTCACCTGCCCATGCCGAGCCTTGTATTTCACATTCTTTTAAAAATGTCTGTGATTATTAAGATATCTAACAATATCAAAACTTTGCCAACAAATATACAAAAATAATCATACTTATTGTGAATATTGTTAATATTTATATGTAATAGATTCAAACCACTACCTTCAGTATATTCTAATTTACATTTAACATCATTTATACTTTCTACTTTTTTTCCCCAGTTTATATCATATTAATTATTTCTCAGAATAATATTCATAGATTATAACAATAAAAAGAAAAGAAAAAATTAAATTACATATTTTCAAAATTGCTATCTAATTTTAATTTTATAACATTATTAGTTTCCAATTTTCTTGCAAAAACTACCTTTTTTTTGTCCAAACAAATTTATTGTTTTCTTTTTGGTAATTTTCTACACCTTCAGAACAGTTCTTTATTGGCAACCATTAGATTTCCACTTAGATAATCTCTGCCTTTTCCCATATTATCGCTAAGAAACTCTCATGTCAATGCTTCTTCCAGTTTTCCCTATATAACCTTTCTCACAGGATTGGCACGATTGTTTTGCAGGGTAATTGCACATTTGTTTCACATTTTTTAATATCTTAAAGTTTTTTTTTGTATTTGAAATCTGTGTAACTGCAAATCATGCAGTATGTTATAGCAATTCTGGTGCTAAAAAATAATTTGTGCAACTCCAAATCTGCATTGTAAAATGTTGTGTTGTAGCAGGTATACATGTATATTGAATACAAATATTATGATGTAATAATATAATTATCAGGGAACTGGCTAACAGCAATGGAACTTTTACTGCATTTTATCACAACTTGACAAATTACTATTTTATTTATACTACCCTATTTATTCTACTTCAAAAAATCATTACAGATGTATAACTGCATACCAAACTTTACTCTCAAGCACACTAGATGGTAGTTGTTATACATGTACACAATACAGTGATATTATTTAATTTAATACAACAGCTTACCTTTCCAAAAATCTTCAGAAACCAACTACTTTGACAATACTGACCACTGAAGCCTCCAAAAGTGACATCTGTTCCATTTATAACACCCTGTGGTGCAGATACATCAATACATTCCTTGTAGCTTCCAAGCCACTGGAAACTCCCTTTTAAGAATCCACTGGTTAGTTTTCCCGCAGCATCAAACACTGAGAATTAAAATTAAAAAAATGTATCATTCTGTTGCAAATATCAACGGATTTAAAAGTGCAATGTTACACATGTGGTATGTGAGAATGTAAAGAACTTACTGCAGTGTTTACTTGTGTTGAAAAGATGAATGAACTTCTTAATTCTATTCATAGGATTTTTAAAGTTAAAAGCTTTGCTCACTTTTTGTTGAATTTCATGCAAAACTACTCAGCAAAACTGTTCCTAACTTAGAAGTGCAAGGCTAGAAGAAAGACAGCTACTTACACACCACCCTCGCCAATTCCAGGACTACTTTTTGTTAATGAGGAGGGGGATGGATCATCACATTATAATGCCTTCACAGCTGAAAGGGCAAACATGTTGGATGGTTGTATTCAAACTTGTGACATAATAATTACAAGTTCAGTGCCCTAACAACCACGCCATACTAGGCTTAACCCTTTATCATCTCCACCCATATATTCTTTCGTTTTTGCATAATAAGACAAATATTTGAAAGGCTGTAGATGATGTCCAGTCACCAAAGCTTGAGAGACATAGTACAGTACATGCGACTGACTCAAATAAGCTGTTGCTCTGGTTAGGTCACTGCATTAGGCCTCTTCCCAGTACAAAAAGAAAAATCATGCTAAAAAATATGTTTGTTTTTCTCCAAAACCACATGTAGCCCTGACGTATGTAACAATACAAGATACTTTTGCAGTGTATGCATTGTTCCACTCTGACTCCATGCTTTGAAGAATAACACACTCAAAAATTTCTAGTTTGATTCAGTTCCTTATGTATTCTAATCATTGTATCCCATACAGTTTGACTTAATTTTTGTTGTTGCTTACCATACATGTTTTTTATGTAGCTACCCTAGACATCTTATATACATTCTTGAAATATATATTGTTCATTATCTATATGTGTTTGATTTTTCAATCCTCCAGAATAAATTGTCCAAGTGTAATAAAAGATGGAGAAATGAAGAGATGATAAACAGAGTGAGTGCGATCTCATCTTCATGGGAGAGCAGGCTGAAAGTAAACAATGTTGCTGTCAACACATCACCACAAATAAATTTTATACTGTTCGAATAAATCATCTGTATGTAACATCAATAGTAATACAAAAAGGTCTCATTGTACAGTAATTGTATGTAATATTTGTATATTACAGATACACCAAAAGTTGAGTAATTCACTGAAATTAAACTTAGTTTAATAACTAAATATTAACATGTGCTATTGATTTCCAACATGATAAAATGGCTATTTATTCAGTGTTGAACTACAAACAATAATGTACTAATAATAATATTAATGGTCTATTGCTAAAAAATTTTCTTTTTAAACTGCATTAATACATTAATAAATCTTAAGTTGTTTACACTATAGAAAAACAGTTTGGAATGCAAAAACCCTGTGAGTGTTTACTAAAACACTATTTTCTACACCAGTTCAAATACTTATAACTTACTCTGGAATGCCCATTCTCCACTTTCATCAAACTCCATTAAACTTTCTAAAGTATACGTTATATCTATTTCACACTGGTCAGTCATATTCACTAGCTTTGCCGAACGTTCTGAAAGTGAGACAGCAAAATTTTTATCCTTCTGGTTTGAGAACACTTTTCTGTACAACCTGTTAATATCATCTAAATTTAGATAACCATGGTCCGAAGATGCAGGCTCAGGTTCTTTGAATGCAGAAATGGTATTTACACCCACATCATGAAACGGCTGTAAAACCCATACTGCATCTGGTACACGCAAAATAGTAGTTTTCCACATTAATGTCATATCTTCAACCCTTTTCCTTTGTTTTGAACTGTGGACTACATCTTCTGTGAAAATGTCATCAAGTCTTAATTCTGGATTTTCTTTGTTTATATTCAAGTAATCGTACTCTGTATCACTATCATTGTGACTGTAACTGTAAGCTTCTTTGGCAATACATAACAGTAATATTAATAGTAAAATAACGATGGTTAATTTATTGAATTTGCGATGAAATAACATTTTTAGCGTTTTATTTCTTAACGAATAACTTCTGGAACTACTACAACTTAGTATAACTATAAGACTAGTAGTAGTTGTACATACATATTTATAACATTCATTTCCAAGCAACTCCGCCCCTCATCTGATAACTAGCCACATGACTGTTCGTATTATAACCTACAGTTTTCGTCTTATGACGTAAAACTGATCTCTAAGACTCACATGACGCTCTTACACTAGTTCTCATGTGATGGAAAAAATATAAGGGGAAAAAAAAAGAAATGATATTACACAGCATGTTATTATTTTGTAAAGTATGCCCAATGAAAAGACTAAGTTTGTAATAAACTCAATTAAAACTGTTTCTGACCGATTTCGTGACATAGTATGCATAGTAACCAGTTGGGTAGGAAGTGGTTGGACGCTGAGAAGTTTAGAAACGAATGAAAATAACAACATAAAATGAAATAAATTATTACAAAATATAGCCATACGATAATACAATATTATAAACAAAAAACACAACTTAAACTTATTGGCATTGTAGACTGTAGTAAGAAGGTAAACGTTTTCGCATATATTGTGTCATTAAATAACATTAATATTTTTCCAGTCTGAAAAAAAAAGACAACGTATCTGCTTATTTTTTTTTAAGATTTCTACTATGGTGTCAATTTGTGTCACGTTCGTGATGCATGTTATTAATAACAATTGGTTTTGAAGTTTAAGACACCTGGTACCATGTTAAGTTGTATTAAAAGTCTGTCAAATGCAATATCCCCAGAATGTGTATCCACAATACTTTGAGGTATTTAACTACATAGCTGACCATTGATAATATTGACAAACACTTTTTCGATGCTTGTGTGAAGTAACAAAATTAAGTGAGTTGATCAAACCTATTTTTCAGTTCAGTTGTGAGCAAGTCAATCAGCTAAAAACTTGCTTCTAAAGCACTCGTTAAGAGTTGGGCCATCACAGGCGACGTGGTGCTCTTTTTTTTCTTCTCTAAGTAGTGTCAGGATCCTATATTACTCCATTTTCAGTTTGCTGTGCACCCTTAAAGACCGTGTGAAAACAATTTGAACTTCTAATTAATTTTTTGTAAGATGAGTGCGCAACGTTTCAACACCAAAATTAATAGTTTCTGACATTATATCTTTTGACTGCAGCACCATGGCCACTTTTATATCTGCTGAGGAAATCTTTAAAGACACATTAAGGCTATGAAACAGGCCGAAACGTGTAATCAGAGTTCGAAGTACAGGCGCTTTCTTTGGTGACTTCTGTGTCACCCTCAGCAGCAATTACTTCCTCTAAAGTGTCGTGAATGATTTCGTAATTAAACAATACCGATTAAATAAATTGCCAAACTTATTGTTGTTTGGAAAATGATACAGAAGAGGAGAAGTAGAACGCTCAAGTATTCTCAAAAAGGTCAAGTTTTTTTGTTGTTTTTTTTTGGCGATGAATTGATATTTCATTTAAAGTGTGCAACAAGCTCAATGTATTTCGAATCATACCACAGCTTCCTACAGAATAAGCTTCAAAGTATGGTTCATATAATGAATTGAAACATATTTTGGATCACATTTTTGATTCGTTTAGCTACATTTGACACTTGGCCCTGGAGAACCGAAGCACCATCATTAGTTTTTCTTTTGCTATTAATATCCAATCCATAATGTAATAAAATATCCTTTATTGTCAAGTGAATGTATTCTGCACCTGTTTTTCGGACAGTCATACATTCCTACAAATTATTCATGTATGACATAATCCAGTGACATCCACCATATTGAAAAATATAAGTGCTCATGTCCCGTCACACCTCGTGTTTCATCAAGTCTAATCGAATAAATGTTTGCTCCCTTCATCATTGAAAGAAGATAAGTGAGGCACTTTGAATGCATTTTCTTGATCAGTTCATTTATATACTGTTACGACAGCGGAAGTCACGCGACGCTGAGGGCATGCGCGCTGGAGTTTCTAGAAGGATCGGGGAACCCCACGAATGTCCAAGCGTTTGCTAGACGCCCTCTTTTTTAGTATATAAGCCGGCAGATAGATTGTAGATAG